GCCCAAGTTGGATGGTAGTTCCTGTAAAGGGTTGGTGTCATGTTCTTCCGTCATGGAGTCCTCTCCCCTGAGCACATCTCACCCTCGGGGGTTGGGTCTGAGTGCATCATGGGTTCTTACTACACTTTCTCTCCTAAGAAGTTGAGAAACCAAGGCTTAACAAAACTGTAAAAAAAAAAAAAAAAAGCTTGTGCATCTGTGTATCTGGTTTATGTACCGGTCTGGGAAAAGTGTTTATTTATGCAAGTTTCCTACAAAAGATTGCAATGGAAAGGGGAAGGCTGAATAGCAAGAAAAACCCACATGCTGAAGTAATTAAATGCAAGAATTGCAAAACCATTACTATGTTTCCTGTACATTCTTTGCGTGTGTTTTCTCTATGTGCTAACAGTTCCCAAACCTGTTCACTGATTTTTCCAAAACTAAGAGCTGTTGTGCTCATCTCTCAATGCAGCTGCTGCTGGTTCAGAAGTAACTAGGATGCTGAGGATAACCTGTTGCCTGTTTTCCTGAGCACAGGGAGGGCACCTGGGACTGGTTTTTCAAAGGGGGTGATTTGAAAGCTCAAAATACTGCGTGTGCTGAAAGATACAGCAGATGTAGTGCACCTGTGCACATGTTCTCCACAGACTCCACTAGGAAAGGCCCTCAGCTCCATAAGGTATGGATTAAAACATTTACTGGAGATACCAGACAGAAACAAGGAACAGCCTAGATCAGCTGCAGTGTCAGACAGATGTGGCACCCTGTGCAGACCCTGCCAGGAGTAAGTGGCATAGTGGGCTTTTACAGTCTTTGTAGGATTTTCCTAGAGTTAAGGAGTTATTCATCATTTCTACTGCCAAGGCAAAGGATGTTTACATAAAACATGCTGTTCCACTTCAGGATAAGGATGAGGACACGGCCATGGGGTTGGCACATGGAGCTATGGACAGACTCCTTTGCTAAGTCTGTCTGCAACCCAGCCCAGTGAGCCTGCAGCCCAGCCCACGTGCTGCCCAGCCTGTGTCCAAGGGCCAGCAGGTCACCAGCCCCTGATGTTCCAAGCTGGGTGGGGACACTTCACCACTGCAGCCTGGTGTGTCACCAGTTTGTTACCCATGATCGCAAGGGCCTCACTGTAGTTGGAGGCCCTTGGCTGCTGCATTTGCTCCTTGGCTGCACCCATGGCTGCTGCATTTGCTCCTTGGCTTTATCATCCTGTGCCTGGGGAGGAAATGTTGCTCTTCCTTGTCTTCCATGTGCTGGTAACTCACAGAACACCCCCAGGCATGGCAAGCACAGAGTGAGGAAGTGCCAAGTGCTCCTCTCATGCTCCCTTCAGCACCATTTTTGCACTGTTCCAGCCCAGTTCTCCACACACAGACCACAGTAGCCCTACCATCAGTTCGTACCTCCTGTGTGCTTACTAATGGAGTGGTCCAGAATACAAGAAAAACTGATTTTGCTCTTTCTCTCCTGGACTTTGTGATGCCACCCCTTCCACCCATGCTCAGAATATTTTGCCCTCTCCTAAAACAAGATGGTTGTTTTGAAAAGCAGCATCATGATTTCACAGATGCCAAAGCAGAAGCAAGAGGATGCTGCCACAGTCACCTTGGGTACGGTGGTCCTTCATGGTATAAAGGACAAGACTTCTCCTGCCCCTGTCCCCCAACCAAAAAGGTAAATGTAGATATGTAAATAAATATATACATATCTTTTTTAGTCACATAGTTTGAGTTTCAGCTTCCTGGTTGGTCCAGACCCTGCTAGGGATACATTCCTGTCATGGTTTCACCCCAGCCAGCAGCCAAGCCCCACACAGCCACTCGCTCACTCTCTCACCACCAGGACTGGGGAGATAATTGGAAGGGTAAAAGCTACAAAGCTCATGGGCTGAGATAAAGATAGTTTAATAGGGAAAGCAAAAACCATGCGCCCAAGCAAAGAAAAACAAAGAATTGATCCACCACTTCCCATGGGCAGGCAGGTGTTCAGCCACCCCCAGGACACCAGAGCCCCATCACCCGTAACGGTGACCTGGGAAGACAAACTCCATCTCTCCAAACATCCCGTCCTTCCTCCCCAGTTTTATATACTGAGCATGATGTCATATGGTCTGGAATATCCCTTAAGTTAATTGGGGTTACCTGTCCCGGTTGTGTCTCCTCCCAACCTCTCATGTACCCCCAGCCCCCTCCCCAGCATGGCAATAAAAAAGCAGAAAAGGCCTTGGCTCTGTGTAAGCTCAGCAACAAAAACATATCTCTATTGTCAACCCCGTGTCCAGCACAAATCCTAAACATAGCCCCCACACCAGCCACTAGGAAGACAATTAGTTCTACCCCAGCCAAAACCAGCACAGTTCCCTTGTGACTCAGTCCAAGACAATTTAGGCCTCTGCCCTCCTCCAGCCACCTGTGTTCCCCAGGAAGGAGTTTCATTGATTTGACCTTCATGTGGTCCTTGAACCAAGAAGTATGTGAACTTCTGGATCCCTTTCCCCCCATGGCGTGGGGCGGCCCAGCTCTAGTTCCATTTCCATCTGAGGAACCACTCTGACGTCTTGAAGGATAGGGAAAGGGAACTCCAGCGTCCGGGGTTTCTTCAGGCCCTGAGCCTGGAGGGGAGAGGTGCCTTCCCCTTCTCCCCCCACCCACGTGGCTCCATGGCCGGCACGGATACAGCACACCGGGCAGAGAGGAGGCAAGAGAGAGTTCATTGTTGGGGGGTTACATTTATAGAGTTTAGGAGGATTCACAGAGTAACCAATTAGGTTGCAGGAAGGGTTAACAGCCAATAGGAAGGGGTTAAAGGGGGCCAATGAGAACAGCTCAGGATATCTGCTCAGGACATTCCTGCATGGGATAACACTTGTCCTGGGGGGTGTTGGGAAGAAGAAGCATGTGTTTGCAAAGAGACCACAAGAAGCCGTTTTAAGACATGTTTAAACAACAGTTTTCCCATATAATGCAGGTTTAGTGCCACAGTGAACACTGCAGCCCACAGCAGCTTTTCCTGCTTCTCCCCATCCCAGCGGCTGCAGTGGCATTTCATGAGGAATTTCTGACAGAGGAATACAGGGCCACAAGGGAGGAGAATGTGAAAGCAGGCCCCCAAATTTCCTGAACCTTTGTGGAGCCTTTTCCCCGGTGTTATCAAGTAGGATATTTTCAGAAACATTTAGACCTTAAGCTGGTCAGATGTCCTCTTCAATCACAGTATAACTGCAAATAGAGGGTAAGAAATTATTTAAACAGATGATTCTCTAGGCAGTGAGTAACAAATAACTACAAGGTTATAAAGATTTTCTAAGAATTAAAGGCATGAAAATTGTGTGTAGTAAAATCATCAGTTTCAGGGAAACAGAACCTTGAAATAACCAAATTCAAACTCATACTAGTAACATTGTAATAATTGCATCAATGCTAATGACAAGTAGCCAAAACCATAAATAAATCACACTTCCATATGTATTGTGCTTTTAGGCCCCACAGTTTTGCAGAATGAAGTCTCAATTACTCTGACATAAGAATACCTGCAAAAGCAAGCTGTGGTAACAAAAGCAAAGACCTGGAAAGGAGCAAGATAACAACAGAGCTCCCAGGGCTCTATACACAAGTCTTCTGTGTTTAACGTTAAATTACATGACAACTGAGTGAAGCTGCCTAAAAGTGACAGTGTAGGTGGAGACACCTTTAAGCCTTATATAAGACAAGAACTTCCCCCCCCCCCTTTGCCACCACTTTGGAGTCAGTACAATCAGATTCACAGCCCGGATTGCTCCGAGCCCCACTCTGTGCCACTGCAGACCCAAACTGTGTCTCACTGTCACTACAGGAGGGCTGTGTCCAAACCAGGCACTAGGATTTGGCTGAATTAGTTCAATTACTTGTATTTGAGGACAGGATGTTGAATTTGGGTGTAACAACAGCAAAGGCTCATTTCAGTTCAGCTGAATGCAATGAAGCAGAAGAGATTCTTTATTGAAGCAGAAGAAAAATCGAGAGCTGTAGAAGACAGCAAAAGACAGTAAAATCCCTCGAAAGAATATTTCAGTAGAAAACAGATACTTCTCCTTGACAGGACTAATTCAGGCTCAATTACTGAATTATATAGATTAACTATAACCTCTAATTAATATTACCTCATTACAGTTGAGAAGCCACAATTTCATGGTGTCAAAGATTTTCTGCATTGACAAGTTCATTTTTTTCTCTCTGGGCATCTACATATTCACCTGTTTCCCAAGTAGTCTGAGGGCACTGCAGAGGCGCATGGCCCTAATCAGGGCTTGTAATTGAAAGCAATTAATCAATTAAACCAAGCAGTTAAATTGCTCTGTAAGAAGGGAAGCTCCTCCTGTGAGATGGAGTGGGATGGGCAGCCCAGGTCTCTGCAGTTCTTGGGAATTTTTTGGTTTTAGATTTGTATACCTGGATTCCCCATCTCTTAAACGTGATACAGTGATACAGAACATTTCTGTTGGAAGGGGCCTATGATGATCATCTGTTTCACACTGGTAATGTAAAAATTTAGGCTGCTTCATGAATTTTAACTTAAAACACAGTGGTGGGTGTCCCAGAGAAGCTGGTGAGAAAGTGAATTGTGAGGACCTTGGTGGTTCAGCTCCTTATGAGCTCTCTCTCAGACCTGAGTGTGTGTAACGTGCCTGCTAAAGCTTATTCGCCAGAAAGCAATGCAAGGAGGAAAAGAGAAAGAAATAGTTGCTTAGGAATAAAAAGAAACAAAGGAAAACATTTTAAAAAATAACTTAAAAAACAGAAGGGGGGGTAAAGCATACTCAGCAGGAAATATGAAACAGAGGAGAAGTAATTTTTGAACTTTCCTCTTCTGACCCTCCCTTAGGGCTTCCGTTGTCTGCCCACACCTCTGACAGTGGGCACTGAGACACTTGTTTTCTGAAAAAGAGGAAGGAAAAAACACCAGCCGTTGTCCTGGACGTTTGTGACAGAGTGAGCAAGGGCAGGGAAGTGCTCCTGATTTACTCCAGCTTGGGGAGTGCAGGTCAGTCCAGCTGGAGAAGGGAGTGGCCGCAGCCTGGAAAGGATGGGAATGCTGCTACGAGCAGCCATGCTCCTGAGTTCCCTTCTCCTCTGCAGTGGTGAGTCTGGGCACAGGTCCCCTACCCAGGGCAGCCTCTGCCCTACACTGGGGTGTCCGCTTATGCTTGGCGGGGATGGCTCTGTTTTGGGAAGAGAAATATGGTAAAAAGGCCAAGTCTGCATGCTGCTGGCTCAAGGTTCAGGTGTTTCAGATCCAGTGGCAGCGAAGTGCAGCAGTGCATGATGCCATGGAAACCCTGCCAATGGACTGAGAGCACAGAGATCCCACACGTGTTGTGGTGGTCATTTTATGCAATGCGAAGGGTCTGATCAGCATTTGTGTTCTCAGGAAAGGGGAGGTATGGAAACCAGCAGAAAAGGGTAAAGAAGTGTCTATGGAAGCTTAGATTCAGCCCTTAGAGTGACAGAAACGTATTGGAACAAAGGCAGTGGTCCTCATATTTACAGGAAAATTTAAAGAGTTTTAGACTTCTTTGCCCCGTGGTTTAAGTTGCTCACATTCGGTTTAGGCTGAGAGAGCACTGTCTTCCAGAAAAACAAATGAGTAGTGGAGAAGAGTTCACAAAAACAGGGCTTTGCTTATTCCTTGGAAGCCCAAAGGGTGACATCTGGAGCAGACATTGGCTGAGACCAGGGAGCTGCAACTTGGGCTTCAGACAGACTCCTTCCCTCAAGCCTGGTCCTCTGGTGCTGTGCTCTGCCCAGGGGCAGTGGTGGCAGGTAAGCACCAGACAGAGCAAGAGAGCCAAGCTGCACATGTGGCAGGAATCAGTGACCCTGGCCATCAGCTGCCTCCTGTCCCTCTGCCTCATACCACGCTTTTGGTTAACTCACCCCTGAGCAGACCATGCCTCATCATACACACTGACCGCTTGTGCTTCTCATCGAGTGGATTCTCCTTGCCAATGCTCTCACCAGCCACGGCTTCACCACTTAGGAGCTGTTTCACCCTGGCTGTTTTGTGGCTTATTTTTCTTCCTACTTTCTTTTTGCAGCATTTTTGGATCTGAGTGGCCCCAGTGAGATCAAAGCTGTATGGAAGGGATCTATCACTCTGCCATGTGCCTATGTCCCTGTGGAGGACCTTGAGCAGCAAACCCTCACCTGGTCTGTGGTACATGACCAGAGCTCAGGCACCATCTTTTGGAGAGATGGCTCTGGGGACCATGTGCTCCTGTCTGAGTACAGGGACAGGGTCAGTGTCCCGAAGGACACCCCAGGGAACGTGTCTCTTGTCATCCTGAACCTGGAGGTCTCTGATAGGGGAACCTACACTTGCCAGGTCACCTGGAGAGCCAGCAACAACAGCCTGATAGCAAAGGAGATCGTGACAAAAATGGAGGTTGTTAAAGGTAAACCCAAGAAGGAGGCTGTGTGGGAGGGGAAGGCTTGGCTTGGGAAGGCTTTTGGGAATTGGGTAGAGCAGGCAGGCGGAGTGACCACATGCTTCCACGCAAAACCTTTTTGCTGGGGACCGTCAGGCTCCAGCAAGAAGCAGCAAATAGGTCAGGGAGTGAAATTCTGCCCAAGACAAAGCAGCCTGTAATTTGGGGAGGATCTGTGGTTCCTCACTTATCAGTTTGTCCCTGGGTCTAGCTGTATCCAATGGTTCAGTCTTTTCCAGGAGCATGCACTGGCAGGGAAGTCCCTGGGATACAGTATGGCTGTTCTTTGGCTAAATTTCACCAGCACATGCCTGACCTCCCTCTGTCCAGGCAGAGGTGGTTTATAGAGGCACAACGACAGCATCAGTCCAACAGAACAGGACCCCGTGTGTAGTGTCATGGGTGGCACAGCTGATGTAGGCAGAGCTGAACTCAGCCTACGCAGGGAGGTGATGCGAGAACCACTTCATCCTGAGAAGGCACTGATGGCCAGAGCCAGAACTGCCGTGGTGGAGGGACCTTCCCCAGCACAGCCAGGGCAGCGTGACCTGGGCCTCTCTGCTTTGTCTTCCAGTGGCAGCCACCAAGCCCATCATCAGGGCCGGCGAGCTGGGGCTGACGGTCCCGGCCGGAGCCAGCACCAGCCTGACGTGTGAGGCCAGCGGGTCCCCCCCCATCAGCTACCGCTGGTTCCGGAGCACCCCGGGGGGGAACGTCCTGCTCCAGAGCAGCGGGGCCGAGCTGGCGTGGGACAGCCTGCGGCCCTCCGACAGCGGGATGTATTTCTGCGAGGCAGCAAACAGGGCTGGGGGCGCAGCGGGCCAGCAGAGCGACACCGTGCAGCTGACAGTGACAGGTGAGTGCCCAGAGCCACAGCACAGAACATCTGGGGCCCTTCAGCAGGGCAAAGGAACAGCCCTATTTCCCTGCCCTGAAAGAAGGAAGCACCAGACACCTTTAGTACTCCTTGTCGCTGGCTCCAGCTTGTGTCCTTCTTTATTTCCTGTATTCGATTTCCTCCTCCTCCTCTTTGAGGAACTGCTCTTTCCTGATGCAAAAGAGGTTTTGTATTTCAAGCACTTACTGATTCCTCTGTGGGTTTTTTGAAGTTCTCACTGCCTCTGTAATGCTGCCCACTGCAGTTCAGCAAATTTAGACAAGGAGTCAGGAGGAACAAGTGAGTGGAATTCAGTGGGGGAACAAACTAAACTGGCCTTTGCCGGACAGGCAGACGTGCTGCACTTCACACACGCCATGATATGACTCGTCCAGGCTCCACACAATGGTGCATGATAGGGTGGACTTGATGGCCTCAGGGGTCTTTTTCAACCTAAACAATTCCATGATGGATGTGTGGTGGAAAACTTACAGCTCTCCTTGGCTGGTAAGTCGACCAGCAGAGCTGTGAAGCCCACGATGGCACAGCCAAGCACAAGTACCACACGCTGGCCTGTGAAAGAGGCAAAGCTTGCTGAGCTCCCAGGTGACGAAGCTCTGCCTGAAACACCGTGGTGGTTTTCACAGCAGTCGCACATTGGAGCAAACAGCACGGGAACAGGGATGAATGCTGGCCATGCCGGCTGACACTGCTGCCATGGCATCCCCTCCTGTCCACTGCATGGGGCTGGTTCCTCCTGCTCCTGTCCCGCCTGTGGAGAGATCTGTATCACACCAGCATCACCATCATGGTCAAACCCCTGTGTAAGCCTCTCCCTCCTCTTCACCTTGCAGATCTGCCCACAACAACAGCGGCCTCGTGGAGGGATGTGGGAACCCCAGGGAGACACCACCTAACCACAGGTCAGGGTGAGAGCGGTGACAGCTGATGGCAAGGAATGGGTGTTGGGGCAGGGTGTGGCACCAACAGTTGGCAGTGGGTTTTATTGCTGGCAAACAGACTGTTGACAGTATTGAACTTTAGTCCATCCATATGCCTCAGTTTTTGATCCTGATGTTTCTGAAGGTGGAACATCCTCCTTCCTTCAGTCTCCAGCCTGCAGAGGGCTGTTTGCTTGCTTGTAAGGAGGTTGGGTCTCTGTAGGAGAGAATACCTGTCTTAGTGCTGCTGGAAATGCCATTTCCTAACTTGAAGAGTGTACGGGATATTCTGGGTTCAGTTCTTTTCTAAAGGGCTTTTTTTACTTGTTTTTTGAATGGAAGCACTGAGGGTAGGTAGAGCTGGTGTTTCCAGGGGCAGATACAAGGGATGCAAAAGCTGCTTCAGACCTGATTGATAACATGTACCTAACCAAGCACAGCACTTCTGAAGGAGGGCTGGTGATTTCTAGTTTGGTTTTGTGGGATGTGGGAATTCAAACCTGGGCTAGAGTAGGTCTGCTTGTGGACTCTTTCTGTGCTTCAGTTATGTTTCATTTGGACTTATGCCCAAGCAATCACATGGGGGCTGTGGAAACTGGCATTGGGGACTCAGGGAAGATGCTGACAGATGTTGACTGTTCTTGCAGAAAAAACCCAAACAGAGCTGGTGTTCAGAGGTACCTCAGGAGTCTCCTGGACTCCATGGGGCTCCATCACTACTACAGGTGTGTGTGTACAGACATACAAATATATATCCACACCTAGTGTGTGTATGTATGTAGTTTGTGTATACATAGTATATACAGTATATATACACTCCATATAGTATCTCTTCAGTGTATACTGCATACACTCTCTCTATAATATAGTGTATCCATAGTACTTATTTCTGTAGTTTGCCTATTTTCACTGCCTTGTAAAGGGGATGGAGGCATCCTCTTCTGATCCCACAGCTCTAATCCCAGGTCTCCTGGTGCTAAAATGAGGGTTGGAAATGCACTGTTAGCCTTTCACTCCTGTTTGTTTTGCAGATCTGCCCATAACAGTGACTGCAGTGACTTCCGAGAGTGGTGTGGGATATCCAGAGAGGAATTATACAACTCAGGGTAAGCGAGAGCAAAACCAAGCTGAAAAGAAGATTAGGGACCCAAAACAGATGCTCTGTAGTCAGCAACTTCAGCATCAAAATTTGTGTTCTGCCTTTCAGCTGGCTGCAAATTGTATTAACAACCGTTCTCAAGGAATCTAGATGATTCATGTTGACTCTTCAAAGGACTCTGAATGTTTTTAGGGGGGAATGAAAGAAAAAAACACTCATAGGTGGGGCACACAGAGTTGTTCCCGTGTTCCTGAGCAGCTGGTCTGTTTTTATCTTTGAGTGTCCAAGCTGGAATAGCAGAAAAGCTTCAGTGTGCACCTCAAGCAGATCTCCTGCACGTTCACCAGCTTTGCAGCGTTGTGACAGGTTTAAACACTTTCTAGATACAACTGAGCAACACCCTTGAGAGGAAAGCTGAGACCCTTTGTTTCACAATGTGCAGTGCAATAATTCTGCCCTGCTCGCCCCCCTGGTGCCTCAGCGTTAGGAGATGGGCGCTGTGTGTCTGGCCATGGTGCCTTGGCAGGGGTACACACAGTGCTGGGTCCCACAGCACAGCCCAGAGCCACGGGAGGCAGGGGCTGTGGGGACGGGGCCGTGCAGGGACACAGCCCTGTGTGCCAGGCAGGCTGGCTGCTGCCGTCCTCAGGGACAGGGTCAGTGTCACCGAACTGCTGCTGCTGTCACTCAGGAGGGCTCCTCTGCCTGAAAGTCCTCTGCTGTGTTGCTTTAGATTTCCAGAGGACCGGCCTGTCCCTGTACCTGGTCATCCTGATTGCTGTGGTGTGCGGTGCTGTGGTTTTCCTTGTCATCTGTTTGATCATTTGCATTAGAAAGCCCAAAGATGGTGAGTAGAATGTTCTGGAAAACCCGAATGTTTTGTGCATGTCCAGCATGGTTTTACCTTTGAGGGGTCTTGGGGGGCTAGGGCTGTGCTTACAGCCACCAGCTGCAGCTCTGGCATCTGCATCGTACAGACAGTGGATGACAACATGAGCGGATTGACATAGGTGGTGGAAGATCCAAAGAGGCAGAGAAGTCCCCACATTCAGAAGGGTTTGCCAGGCACTGGCTGCAGAGCTCAGGGCAGCTGTTGCCCTGGTGCTCCCGAGTGGTTTCCCCCATCCCAGCCTGGCTCTGAGGCAGCTCAGTCCCTGCCCCAGGCCCCCCCGCAGTGCACGGCTGCTCTGCCACAGTGACTGGGGGTGGCTGTTTCTCGCTGCTCCTCACAGACATCCCACAGCTCAGACTTGCCTGCTCAGCCAAGCTCATCATTCCAAACCTTTAAAGTCTCTGGCAATGGGTTTGTCCCAGCTGCTCTTCAATAATTCCCGTAGTTGATATCCAGAGGAAAGAGGTCACTGTTCATTCTTTCTATTCCAGATTAATTTGTTTCCTCTCTGGCCTTCAGACACAGGATGCATTCACTGAATGGCTCTGTCTCTCCTGCACTGCCACCAGAAATGCCCCCAGCCAAATGTTCCTTGGAGCCCCCTCCTCAGCAGCTGTGTTTGGCTGTGTGCAGAGAGCACACGAGGGCTTTGGGGGTTTAGATCCCACAGACTTCATTTTCTCCTTGTCCTTTTGTTTCTTTAATGACTTTTCTATTACTCCATGCTACCAACTGATAATTGTCAAATATTCCTTTTGCTTTTTTTTCTTATTTTTACCTTTTTTTTTTTTTTTAAGGAATCAGAATAACCTCTTTCAAAACTGTCCTTTATTGAACTTCTAATGAAGAGGGAAACTGGGGGGAATCGGGAACTTTTAGTTTCTAAACTCAGCTTTACCTTTGACCTTGGGCTAGTTATTTTGACCCAGTTGTGCAACAGCTGGGATATGGGTTGTTTTCATTTTCTTGGACTGATTCCTGAGAATTAGAGTCATCACCCACCTGACATAACCTCCAAAGTTGTTATTTTTATTCTGTCTTAGGAGGTAATTTTCTTATATCAAGAAGATAAATGTAGAAATTTTTTTTAAGAATGTGAATGCAAATTATTGACACAAATTTGATTATTCTTTTCCAGCTCAAGTCTATGACGTAAAATTGTGAGTATAACTCTTTATCTGACACACTGATGAATCCTGGGGGGGCTGTATCAGAGCAGAAATAAAAAGCACTGCTATTAGCTGACAGAATGAAAAGCCCCTTAAGCAGCCAGGGTGAAGAGGTTCCAGTCACGTAGGATGGCCTGCAGGCTTTCCTCAGCAACATAGAATGTGGGAAGAAAGATCTTTTCGTTAGCAATATCAGAATTGTAAAAGTGAGCAAGAGCTCTTTATTAACTCCTCAGCCCAATGAGGGCTACTGAAGATGATTGTCAAGGATAAATTCCCAGTGCTTTTTCAAAAGCAAAGAACAGGAACAAGAGAGCAGAGGCTCCTGATGCACTACTTATACCCCAATTTATCCCAAAGTATCCTTGGCTGAACTTGCTTCTTCTTAACCATATCTGTGGCAGGAAGTTATGGCTATTTCTAAATTCGGGGTTCACATCCTGATCTACTTGTAACCTGTGGGAGTTATACTGAAAAGCCTGATAATCCAGTCAAAACACACAAGGAGAACCACTTCCCTAGGTATAAATTAAAGTGCTGCTAACTTGAGTGCCACAGCGGGATGTGCCAGCAGTGTCTGCCCTGGTGCTGGGCTTCCCCAGCAGTGTGTAAGGCAGCAGTTTAAGTAACAGCTGAACCCTGAGCAACTGAACAAATGCTGTGATGGTATTTCTCCTCAGAGGATTTATCTTCATTTTAAAAATATTAGATATCATAAGCCACACGGTGGATGTGGGCTGCTTTCAGTTCTCATTTTACTATTCCTCCAACACTTTTTATAATTGTATAGATATATGTATATTTTTCTTGCAAAGAGCAGCTGTCTGGTTATGGCATTCCAAGAAATAGTGGTAACCCTTGCATTGCTTACACACCTTTTGCTGCCTCTCTCTGGAAACTCTCTCTGGGTTGGAAGCAATGCTGCTACAATGCCCAAGGTTCTCCTACCACCTGAAAGCAAAGGACAAAATTCTCCCCTTCAGAATACTGCCATAATCCAATGGCTCAGGTTTACATGGGTTTGAGTCAGACCACATTATTGCTCAAAATCCTGATGGCTTGGGAGATGCTTTGTCTACTCTGGCTGCTATTCTTCTTTCTTATTGCATTTTGATTTCAGCCATAACTCGAGAGCAGCAGCATCTTCAAGGCATGAAAGCACAGGGCACTATGAGGAACCCATCTGCTTCACTGAAAACAACTATGTGACGGAGCCCATGGAAAACAAAAGCGCTGAAGTAAATAAGAGTATGTCTGACTGTGCTGGAAACCCCCAGGAACATGAGTATGAAGTAGGGGACACTTCCTAAGAGCCAACAGTGCTCTGCAGGTACCAGTCCTGAAGAGCACCTTCACCCAGGCAAAATTTATCTTTCCTCTGAAAAATATCTTTGCCTCTGAAAAATAGGTTGGACAAGCAGTGGTTGCTCTTCCTTCACAATCCCTGCAGTGAAAATGCACACCTCTTCAGGAATTTCAGTTACAGACTGCTGTATAGAACTTCTGATTTTACTTTCCTTGGTTCCCTTTCATCAGATCTGCCCAAGAAACCCTTTGAAAGCTGGGGAATGCAGGTCCCAGGCTGGGAGCACTGTGCAAAACTTACTGCTTTATATGGCCAAAAGGACCAGCATTCCCAGTCTTCATGTGGTGGGAGCAGAGCCAGCACCAAGGGCTGCTCATCATCCCCATCCCTGGGGGTGAGCAGGGCAGGATGCAGCTGGCCTGGGAATTGATGGTTCTCCTCTTGCCCACACGATGCTGCACAGGTGGTAGAATGTCCTTTTCATGCAAGAGAGCCCTTGGAGAAACACTGAAAGGCAGATTAAAGCTAGGAGAAAACCAGGAACCTGCCACACCAGGAGCAGCAGTGCAAGAAGTTGGAACGCTCCTGCTCAGCCTCTGTGCTGCCCTCAATCTCCCTCCACAGCACAGAAGTACAGACACACTGGCCATAGCTCTGGACAGTTCTGATACTGCAACCAAGCACGTTTTTTCTGAGCTCACCTTCTCTGGTCTCTCTTTAAATGTATGTTTGATATTTGAAAGAAATCAGATACTTTTCCATAAGTTTGGGATCAGATTGTTTACACATACCTCACATATTTTTATGTGCATAATTCTGCACAACCAGCTCATCTTTAAATGCCAGCAAGCACTCACAGCTCCTCAGTAGATACTCAGGAAGCACTTTTCCCCCACCATAAAGGGCCTGAAGGGTAAGTTATGAATAATTTCTACTGCCCTGAGTAAATCTATAATGTGGGTACTGCAGTTCTGGAAGAACCTTTTTATAATGAACAGGGCAATCTTGTGTCCTATTAAAAGTCATGTGGACATGTGTAAAATAGAAGGCGTAATGCGAGGGGAACATTGGTGACAGAGGCACAGGATGAGTGGGGCCCCAGATGTGCTGCTCACACTTGGACCTGCACCTGCAGGTCTCTGTGAGCATTGGTTGAAAACTTACCAGCATTCCAAAAGAGCGTGAGGTGCTAATGGAAAGGCATTCCAGTCAAAAACCAGCATTGCAATAGTGTAAAACCCACCATGGAATGTTGCCACCTTATGTATGCATATTGGTTTCATCTTGGAGCAGCTTAGCAGAGCAAGAAAAGTTACTGAAAAAGATTATAAAGGATAATTATTAGCACAAAACCACAGCTGTGCAAATGCAGTCTTTTAGTCAGCTTGGAAAAAAGAGAAAAAGGAACAAATGAGCAAAGTGTACTCATGGTGACCAGTGCCAAGAAGGTGAAGGGAATGTTTGGCTACAACTTCTCTGAAAAGGATGCAGAAATTAGTGCAAATTGTCTGGTAGCACTTTTTAAAGGCAAGGAAAAGTACTTCTTGTATGCAACACAGAAGTAAGTGTGGAACATGGTGCTGCTCACTCTGGGCTGAGAGACCCAGAGGTCCAATGGAAAATTAGAGGAAGGAATGATATAAAAATTCATCAAAATGCACTCACTGCCACAAACGCTTTCCAGGCACTTATCAGTGACCTTATACTTTCTCCCTGCATTTCTTGCACCACAAGTTTTATTTCTCTTTGTTCAGAATGTACTTAAAAATCAAGTACTGGGAAATCTTGATTTCCAAACAGAAAAAGAGGAACACACAACCACTGGTGTCATGGAGAAAACTGCCAGCATGTATCTGCAGCTTACTGCAGGTGTGGAGAAGCAAATGCAAATCATTAAACTTCAGGACTGCAAAGTTTGCAGATTTTGTTAAACTTATCTTTGTTTTGCCTATAAAGGTGGTGGGAGAGGGGTTGGTGTGTGTGTGAGCATCTGTATGTGTCCAGGAATGATGCTCCCAGGAGTGTGGAGGTCCCTCTGCAGAGGAATTCCAGAGAATCTGCTGGAGTTTGGGCTATGTTCTCCATGTTGTGTCATGTGAGGTTTGTAGCCTGCAGTCAGCCACAGTTCAAGGAATGGGAGAGTTGCTGATAAGTCTAGTGTAAGATTCTGAGCTAATGAAATGGAATGTTTGAGGTGTGAAAGCAAATGAGTTCTGTTATGGCGAGTGTAAAAAGCCTGAGGAGATTGGCAGTCTCTTTCTCAGCAGGAAGGTGAGTACGAGAAGAAAACTGTTGCAATAGTATTGCAAGGTACAGAATTTTCAGTGAAAGGGTTTTCCAGAAAACAGCAAAAAACTCACACCTGGCTCAGCATTAATGTGATGGTAAATCAACAGTGTTGAAAGTCTCTGGTAAATTGTTTTTTCTTTAACTGGAGATGAGGCTGTAGGCTTTGAAGCCCTGCAGTAATGTTCTCTTTCTTTCAAAAAAGGTTTTTAAAATAGGTGTGACTGTGTGTTTGGGCATGTGTTAGGTCAGAGGAGGTGGGAAGGGTATGTAGCTGGTGCTAGAGCACAGCACACCCATCTGAACTCAGCCTGACTGCAGGGACAGTCCCCCAAGCAGGGACACGGCTGTGGGCACCTGAAATGACCTGCAGTGTTCTTTGAGGTGTCATGACGTGGCCAGAGCTCCAACCTGAGGAGAAGGGAGCACTGAGGTAAGGTAGAGGTGTGGAGACAAAGGGCTTTCCCCTGAGGGACAGGGTGGTCACACCGTGGTCTGCACACACAGGACACTCTCACCACTGACACTCCACGGGTGATGGGTGTCAGGAGTCCCACAGCTTGCCACAAAATCCCTCCATTCCAGCTGCACTGCAAAGCCATGGACAGTGCAGCCCCACCAACGTGGATAAACAGCAGTGTTATCCGGGAGAGCCAGCACCAGGAGCTGGTGATGTTAAATACAGCTGTTGTAGGGCAAGCTCATGAAACTGGAAAGAAATCCATGAAATATGGTCTCCACGTGTTTTGTGTCTGCATGCACTGTGGGACAGCTGGACAAGGTCCTGATCCTGATTTGGCCTGGGGTGTCCCTGGGCAGCACTTCAACAGCCAGAGGATGAGCTGAGGTCACAGCAGATCATCTCAGACCAGCACTTGTGTTTACCAAACCTAGAGCTCAGCCATGGCGCCCCAGGAGGAGGAGCTGGACAGCCTGCAAGGAGCCAGCATCACTATAGTGATGAGACTATCGAGAGAACCAGCAGCTGGTACATGTGGCAACTGCAGGTAAAGGCACATCTGAATTGCTCTGACAGCTGTGTGTGTGCAACCCACCTGTGGCACCAGTAGGAAATGAGTACTCAAAGGGCATCATATATATGGGTCCCTTTCTGGTGTCAGGAGGTGTTTACAAGGATTTGGCCAAGCTAATGGGTAACCCAGAACTGATGTCATTGACCTTGGAATTCCTAGGAAGGGAAGGGAATTTTTTCAGACGGAGTACTTGTACATCATGTTTCTGTCACGCAGGCCTTGAGGGGAAATGCTCGCTTACACTAATTTCTGTTCCTTTAGGTAGAACAAGGTTATGTTTTCATGACTGACTGCCCAACTGCCTGGTGTGTGTGAGAGCTGTGGGGTGAATGGCTGGGGATGCTCACACAATCAGCCTCTGTAGGACATCCAAAAAGTACTTAGTAAATCACAGTCTGTTGAGTCAGATCTGTGATTTGGCTATGGCTGGACCAAACAAGAGTGTCTCATGTAAAAATTTCTTCTTTTTTTGAGTGCATATGGTTCAAAAAGAGCACTTTCAGATCTTCCTTTTTTAGTTACCTACTTTTGGTGATTTGCTCAAAGCCATGTACTGAATTTCACCCCCTTGCATGCTAAGAATCTTATTTCATCACTGGAAAAATGGTAGCAAACTTCTCTAGCTTCTGGCAGACTTTGTCAGAACTTGAGAGTAAAATGCAGGCTCAGCAGAGCTGGTCCCTATGAGCAGGGTCTGAGGGCCCATCTGTGCTCAAGTTTGGGGACACAAAGACTTTACTGTGTCACCTCTAATTAGCCTGAGATGGAGTAGCAAAAATTACAGAATAAAGAGTGCCTGAACTGTGATACTTGAAGAAATGATGCTTGGAAGAGTGTCCTGACCTCCTCCTGTATGTTGGGAGTAAGGTGGATGCCTGGGGGACAGGGTGCCTTACCCGTGGTGCTGCGTGGGAGAGAGCAGCATGTTCAACCCACAGAAGAGACTGGAGGAAAATACTGCATTTTAATAAACTGGGTAGCTGGCCATAATGTCTGAGACATTGAAGGCTTTTTCTTCATATGTTCAGATTCAAACTATAAGGAGTCCCTCCAGTAAAGAAGAAATGGGCTGACTGTGTGACTCAGGGGGAAGACTAGCAGCTGTGTCTCTGTCCAGAGAGAGAAAGACGTCATGTACCTCGTATTTGAGGAACTGCAGTACTTCATGTCTATTTTAGTTAAATAGTCTTCTTTTTTTTTTATCCTGTATAATTATAGCCTCAGGAAGTCTTGCATATCCGGTTCAGAAAGTAGTCCTATCAGCAGTTTTAGCTTGGGTTTTCAGCTTGTTCCAGGGCATGTTCCCCAAAATCTAGCTTCTTTTAAAGTCTTTTGTGTAGCAGACTGTTTCTCTGTCATAGCCAGGGTGTGGAAAAGGTTTGTTTTAAATCATCTCTATGAAAATGGATTCACATTCCCTCTTTGACTGACACAGCTTGAATTTTAACAAGTGCTTTTTTGTCTGCTTGTTTGCTTTTAGGCAGGACTCAAACATCACTAAAAGCCCTCAGAGGCAGCATGGGTAGACAGATAGAAGCTATGTGTGCTGGTACCACACTGGTAGTTGCAGCAGAGATGTCAAGAAAAGTCAGCAAAAATCCAGTTTCAATGTCTTACATAGACTTGTTCTGCAAGAACAGGTGCTGCTGCCTCTGTCGTCTTCCTTGGCTGGATGGCAGCAGGTGGTGACTCTCAGCCTGGAGCTTTGGATGAATTTGTTGCACCAGGTCTTGCCACACCACATTCAGCTTTTTGCTCCAGGTGGCCTCTGCTCGCCCCAGGCAAGTTCCACTGTAGCAATCAGCAGGGCTCAGCCCGAGTCACCGGGCAAGTGCCCCCTGAGTGGGCATGCCTCCACTTGGGACTGAAATGAGATCCCTACAGTTCTCATCAGCTTACTGACTTTGGCAAAATGATAAACTCCAGCTCTCATTGCCCTAACAGAGGGAACAAGCCATCACTGACAGACAGCAGCACTTCCAGAGATGGGTCACAACCTTATGCAAAATCATGGCTATTGAATAAAATTCCAAAAGTTGCTCTAATGACTGGTTAAACACCTACAACAGAATTCACTAGGTCAGTAGATCTGCTTTTATACATGATTCTTATCAACTGTAAATCCTTCTTTTGGTAGTAATTAGCAAGCCAAGATTAATCCTGTGCATCACGCCTATTGGCAAATCTTGGAAGTACTTTTAAAGGTACCCTACAGAGCACATTCAGAATGGCCCCTGGATTAAAGTCCCTTGGCCGCCAGTCATAAGTCACCCCCTTGGCAAACATGACGTGAGCCCGCAGAGCATGAAACATGATGACTTTTGCCCACAAACTGGACTATTGTAGTAGAAATGTGTGCTTAGGTAGTCTGTGATATTCAACACGACCCAGCAATGGGCACTTGCAGCCCAGAAAGCCAACTGTGACCTGGGCTGCATCAAGAGAAGTGGATGGGGACAAGGAATGGGACTGGAGAGATCCATACAGCCTTTCTCCTTCCATTACCCTTCACCTAACTCAGCAATGAAATGGACTCGTGATGTTTCAGAAAGAGGATCCTAGATGACAAAGGTCAGAAGAAAGGGAAGTGTTCTTCACTTGCAGTCTGGTCCCAGGAGGGTGGGGGGTCTCTCAGAGAAAGGAAGACAGACCTGCAGTTCTGAGAGAATGAGAGAAGTTGGGTGGATAGTGGTGTTTGTGATGATTTTCATCAGCTGCAATGGTGAGTAAATATTTCTATGGATAAGAACAAAAATCAGAGTACTAAGAGGGTAGGGAAAGTCTTTTGAATTATATTGTCTTAATTTTTTTAAACTGACAAATGTGGAAAGTCTTTAGTTTATTGTATTACCAACAGAGTCTGAGAATTCACAAGGTTCTCCTTTGGTATTGGATACAACAAGGCGCTTTTAAAAGTGGAGAAATTGGGCAAGTCAGCTCCCCTGCCCCAAGGCAAGAACAGAACACAATTGTTTGGGACTCTTGGAGAGGACCCTGTCTGGTGTGCCAGCTTTCAAAACAGTCCTGGTGAAGCTGGAATATACATTCTACTAGAATTTAATAATGCATCCCCATCATTATGCTTGCATGGCCCCAGGAAGAAGAGGAGCCGTAATTGTGAGACCAGGTGCAGGCACAGGAGATTCCCCTTGGTCTCTCCTATCTGCTGACTCCCTGGTTGCATCAGGAGAGCTTAGATAGCAGCCTTGGCTTCAGTTCCTAAGCTTATGACTGTATATACCCTCTCTCAGGGCAGGTATGACACTGGCAGCAGCAGAGGAAGGCTCTGGGAAACAGGAGAAAGGTGCTTTAACAAGTTGTATACGGAAGCACAGGATTGCTCCTGATGTTTAGAAAAATGGGTTGAATTACATTCCTCATTTCAGCATAAAAAAACAGCTTTGCAGATTTCTGGGATGTGCCTCACGAGTGACTTCTTGTGTGAACATAACCAGTGCCTTTTTGGGGAGGTGAAAGGTGAGAGGGAAGAGGGGCATGGGGAGAGGTGAGCCAAGTCCAATGAAATTCAGTTGATTTGCTACTTATAAGAGGCACTTCCCAGAGGAGCTGTGAGATCCATGGCCAGACAACTGGAAAGATTGCAAGAATGAGCAGAGAAAATCTGCCCCCTCTTCTTCTGTACTTACCTGAGTGCTTGGCAGGGTGCTGATCCTGTCAGGAAGTTTTCCAAGGCTAAAGCAAAAGGATTGGCTTCAGTCCACCATTCCCATTCCAGGCCCAGTACTGCAGGGAATATCCCTAAATGCTCCTGCCTGCAAGGAGCCCCTCTACCGAGAAGGAACTGAGAACTGGTAAGTGTCCAGAGAGAGACACAATAAAAACAGCCATGAGGTCAAGGCAGCCGTTCAGTTCCCTGTGCTTGACTCTGTGGGCTGGCTTAGTGGCTGTTGTGTCCAGCACATCTGAGACACAGCCACAGGCTGGCTTGCACCGCCGGTGAGTCCCATCCGTCCTGAGGATGTTCCCCTCTTCTGCTGCATTCTGATTTCTTCCCTTCCACTGTTTTTCCCTTCAGCCCTCCTGGATCTGTCTGGTGTCCACCAGGTCAAGGGCACATGGATGGGATCCACCACTTTACCATGTACCTACGTGCCTTCAGAAGGTTTCACAGAGCAAGCACTCAGTTGGAGTGTGGAGCGGGACTCTAGCACCTCTACCATCTTTCGGAGGGATGATTCTGGTGACCACATCTTGCTCTCTAACTTCCGAGATCGAGTCAGCGTCCCAAAACACAGCCCAGGGAATGTCTCACTCCTAATTGAGAACCTTGAAATGCCTGACAGCGGACACTACACCTGTCAAGTCATCTGGAGGTCTACAAATAACAGTTTGATAACAAGGGAGGTGACCACTATAGTTAAAATCGTCAAAGGTAAATCCCACGACAAACCCCTGCTCTTGTGGAGTCAGTTAATCCGAGAACAGGTAGGAGAAGCAGTGCTGGTGGGAATAGTCTTTCACACCACACTGTCTACCCCATCCAGGCTAGAGGTTGAGGCATCTGCCTCCCTTGATGTGTTAGTTATCACTTCTCCACTCATGGAGGTGTAGGGATGGACTGGGGAAGGGGGTCAGTTAGTGTACAGCCCAGTCTGGATCTACTGATAAACCACTTGAACCAACGGTGCTTGAAATAACATGCAAATCTGATTTGGGTTCTCTGCAGGTAGCCAGCCACTGTCTTTGTGCTTCTTGTAGCAAGTGGGTGATGTGTGAGCCAAGTTTGCCTTCTCCCCTTCCCAAGCATCCTTGGTGTGTGCTAGAAATAACTGTCTTTCTGCAAGGGGGGTTACCCCCCAACAGAGCAGGACTTTGTGATAGGGCTGCAGGAACAGTGACACAGCTGGTGTAACCTGGTTTAAGGTACGGGTGACCTGAACTCAGCCTACGCAGGGAGGTGATGCGAGAACCTCATCCTGAGAAGGCACTGATGGCCAGAGCCAGAACTGCCGTGGTGGAGGGACCTTCCCCAGCACAGCCAGGGCAGCGTGACCTGGGCCTCTCTGCTTTGTCTTCCAGTGGCAGCCACCAAGCCCATCATCAGGGCCGGCGAGCTGGGGCTGACGGTCCCGGCCGGAGCCAGCACCAGCCTGACGTGTGAGGCCAGCGGGTCCCCCCCCATCAGCTACCGCTGGTTCCGGAGCACCCCGGGGGGGAACGTCCTGCTCCAGAGCAGCGGGGCCGAGCTGGCGTGGGACAGCCTGCGGCCCTCCGACAGCGGGATGTATTTCTGCGAGGCAGCAAACAGGGCTGGGGGCGCAGCGGGCCAGCAGAGCGACACCGTGCAGCTGACAGTGACAGGTGAGTGCCCAGAGCCACAGCACAGAACATCTGGGGCCCTTCAGCAGGGCAAAGGAACAGCCCTATTTCCCTGCCCTGAAAGAAGGAAGCACCAGACACCTTTAGTACTCCTTGTCGCTGGCTCCAGCTTGTGTCCTTCTTTATTTCCTGTATTCGATTTCCTCCTCCTCTTTGAGGAACTGCTCTTTCCTGATGCAAAAGAGGTTTTGTATTTCAAGCACTTACTGATTCCTCTGTGGGTTTTTTGAAGTTCTCACTGCCTCTGTAATGCTGCCCACTGCAGTTCAGCAAATTTAGACAAGGAGTCAGGAGGAACAAGTGAGTGGAATTCAGTGGGGGAACAAACTAAACTGGCCTTTGCCGGACAGGCAGACGTGCTGCACTTCACACACGCCATGATATGACTCGTCCAGGCTCCACACAATGGTGCATGATAGGGTGGACTTGATGGCCTCAGGGGTCTTTTTCAACCTAAACAATTCCATGATGGATGTGTGGTGGAAAACTTACAGCTCTCCTTGGCTGGTAAGTCGACCAGCAGAGCTGTGAAGCCCACGATGGCACAGCCAAGCACAAGTACCACACGCTGGCCTGTGAAAGAGGCAAAGCTTGCTGAGCTCCCAGGTGACGAAGCTCTGCCTGAAACACCGTGGTGGTTTTCACAGCAGTCGCACATTGGAGCAAACAGCACGGGAACAGGGATGAATGCTGGCCATGCCGGCTGACACTGCTGCCATGGCATCCCCTCCTGTCCACTGCATGGGGCTGGTTCCTCCTGCTCCTGTCCCTCCCTGCTTCAGAGTGTGCCTGAGGATGGCAGGGGGCAAGAAAATGTCCTCTGTGTCCCTCTGGGACCAGAACTCTTGGGGTTGCAGAGCTTCAGGGGAGGTCACCTAAGGCAAGAGACCTGGCATGGGGCCTCACACCTCAGGGAGCTTACAGCACAGCTGTCAATGGCAAAGCCAGGAAATCACCACAGGAGAGAGGGAGCAAAAGAGTTCTGTGAAAATCTGAATGAGTGCCAGCAGGACAAAGTCAAAGGGTTCCCAGACTGTGCTGTAGTCAGGCATGATGCACCATGTCAGCTAGATCTGCCAGGAATCCCTGGAGCAAGGGTCAGGGAGCAGGGATGCAAGTGCCACAGGCTGCTCCAGGGTGGTTGGCAGGACACACGCAGGATGACAGGTGAGTCCAGTGCTGGCAGAGCACACCCTGCTCTCCCAATGTCAAGGGCAGCTCCCGACGGGGTTGTGATGCATCCACCATTCTCCATTAGCAGATCTGCTCCCAACAATGCTGGTCTCCAGGATGGATACTGCTCCAGAAGGGTCTGTCACGGACACAGGTGAGTGGAGTCTTGTGCTGGAAATCACCAGATTTGCACAGACAAGAGTGAGCTGACAAACACCATCTCAGACCAGCTCCAAATCTGGCTGCTGTGCCCATGGCAGATCCAGCTGAAGGGAACAAACCCGTGCCATGCCAAACCTCGGGCACCGTCCAGGCAGAAGATGCCCTTCTGGCTCCCACCCACAGGCCTGTTGAGGGGCTTTTGCTGCCTGGAGTTTGCTTGTATTACCATCCAGGGACACCCCATCCCTGGAAGTATTCAAAGACAGGTTGGGCGGGGCTTGAAGCAACCTGGTCCAGTGGAAGGTGTTCCTGCCCACGGTTACAGGTGGACGCAGGTGTGCTTTAAGATTCCTTCTAACCCAAACCACCCTGGGATTCTGTGACTCCACTGGGAAGTGACTGAACCCCAAAGTGCCCTGGGCCCCACCTTCGGCACCGCCGCAGATTTCTGTCGGGTTTAAAGCCCGTCCGAAGCAGGCCCGGGCACTGCCCG